AAAAAAAAAAAAAGTGAAATCCGTTTTTCAGAAAACAGAAAATGAAAACATGAAAATGAAAACACATTTTTTTCATTTTCTGATTTCCACAAAAAGGTGAAATCCGTTTTTTAGAAAACAGAAAATGAAAACATGAAAATGAAAACACATTTTTTTCATTTTCTGATTTCCACAAAAAGATAAAAACATTTTTGATTTTGTTTTTTTAAAAAAATTACACCAAACACGTTTTTAACACCCGTTTTCATTTTTTTACTTTGAAAATTGTGAAAAATGAAAATGAAAACGCAAACAAACGGGCCCATTCTTAAGAAAACCCATTTCATCGTCTCTCCAAAATCCCAACAAAAGCTTTCTGTTAAAAAAAAAAAAAACCCATCACATATCCAACCCCACCTCACTGACGGCAGCGGCGAAGAGGCCGACAACAACGGCGGAGGCCGAACGAGGAACGACTGAGACGTGGGCTGAACGAAGAAAGATGGCCATGGGTTTTGCGACCAAGACGGCGGCCTTTCGGGGAGCGAATTGCCGTGGGTTTTGTGACCAGGGCGGCGTGCTTCTGGGAGAGCCTCGCGGGTGTGTTGCTGGATCGTTGGTGGTGGCTGTGGCGGATCCGGGTCTGTCGTTCCAGTGACGGCGGTGGCTCGGGGCTGGTCGCTCCGGCGGCGGCTTGGGGCTGGTCGCTCTAGCGGCAGAGGCGGCTGTTGGGTTTACTTGGTCGGTCGGCGGCGAGACGGATGATATGATCTTCAACTTTCTTGTCGTTAGGGTTTTGGGACGGTGGCTCCTACTGGGTCAGTGGTGAGACGGACGGTGTGATCTTCCACTTTCTTGTCATTAGGGGGACGGCGGCTTGTACTTGGTCGGCGGCGAGATGGAGGGTGTGATCTTTCACTTTCTTTTCGTTAGGGTTTTGGACCGGTGGCTCGTACTTGGTCGGCCTCGAGACGGACGGTGTGATCTTCCACGGCCAGGCTTTCAAGCGAGGCATTCTTAGAGATTTTGGAAAATCTGAGTAAGCTGTTTGAGGAAATGTCTGAAAGGTGTGTTGTTGCGTGCGTTTCTGGCCGCCGTTGTTTGGCCTCCTTGAGGTTGATGATGATCGGCGGAGGTGCCGTCGGTGATTTCAACGATTGGGTGCGACGATTTGGCGGTGGCTTTTTCACGGACGGTATGTAATTTAACGACTTCCACATTCTTTCGTTCTTGAATTGTTGTCTGATTGTGTGTTCTTAGAGCGATTTTCACACCTTAATTTAGTTTGGGAATTTATTTGAGTTCTATAACCAATCTGTCTTTTCTTGGAATTTTATGTCATTCGAAGCTTTATTGTGGTTCTTGAATTAAACGACTTTCATTTTTTTCGTCAGTTCTTGAATCTTGACTTATACCAGTGTGTGTATATATAATTATATACGTTCTGCTAAACAAATTGTACAATCATTGATTTTATTTACAAGTGTTTTTTAGATTTTCCTTTTAAACTGCAACTTTAGGTTTCTTTGTCCATGGATCTGGTCATTGGTTATCCCTGTTGTACCGAATATTTTTGCTGACACCTTTTTTGAGAGTAAAGAAGAGTTCCTTCAAACCTGTTCAACTCAAAGAGATTTTATCAGGTGCTACATCATTTTATCATATGGAGCTCAAGAATTATGAGTCTCAAGGAATTTTTTTTTTCATTTTAATTGTGTAATTACTCTTTAGTTTATGTTTCTACTATCTCTGTTCAGATCCGTTGTTTCTGTAGGTAAGATATTGCAGCAAAAGACCTCCAATAGTTACGTTGGTTCTGGTAGTTATTTAGAAGCAGCTACTTCTAATTTTGGAGGCATTTGAAATTTAATTGTGTTCTGTATAACAAGAATGATAGCTTTCATATATTTCGTAGTTCCTATTTTCATGCTTGGTGATTATTCTTTCCACCACTCTCCATATCCATGTGAAGTGTGAGTTGAAATAGAGTGCTAAGCTCATGCACTCTCCCGTTGCACAGATTGCGCGTATGGTGATTGGAAAAACAGCTGCTGGGCCCCTTTACAGTTACTTGATTCCTCTCGTTCTTCTTCTCGTTGATGGTAATCGAACTATATTGATTCCTTTGTCAGAGCAGCTTTAGTTATGTGGTTTTAACGTTTGCTTCTTTGCCTTTTTTTAGGTAGTAGTCTAATTGCTAAAACTACTTAAATTGGTTTTCCTATTTTATGGTGGTTGTAGGTTGGCCTTTTCGTTTTGTGTTGGAACTCACCTTATTCCACAAACCAACAAGGTATTTGGTAGTCCCTTGTTTCTCGTGTTATAAACTTTAAGCTAAATACACATGATATATTTTTCTTTACTTTTGGTAACTCTTTTTGCTGTTGTTTTTCAAGAGAAGGTTGATTGAGGTGGGGAAAATGATTTTGGTCGATAACTGATAGCTAGCTAAATTATAAACTACTAGATATTTGGCAGAGGCGAATTAGTTAAGAAATGCTTGCTTAATTTGCCCAAAAGTACACATAAATATACAAGCCCTAAATAAACTACACCTATAAATATTAATGCTTTGATTTCAGGATAGGAGAGGGATGAGCTATGTTTTCTGACAACAATTCTGCATGAACTTGTGAAGTTTAACCATTACAAATTTGCTATCTATTGTGGTAATGCTTTATCAGATTAATAAATATCTTTACTTATTTCTTTCCTAAGAATAGAACGCAGAGGAAGGTCTTCTTAATAAAATTCCATAATATTATTAACTTTTGTAAGAATGATTAGTACTATTGTCATTAGTACTACTATTAAAATTTGTACACACTATTTTTATTTAACTTTGTTTATCTTTTGAAAATATATTTTCCTAATTGCATAGTTTTTTCAGTGGAGACATTTTCCCTTTGCACTATATGATTTGGAAGATGTGATGTCATTCGATAAACAAAATTTGAGAAATAAACTTGGTGATTCTTATGATCAGCAAAAAAAAATAAAAAATAATAACAATAAAAGAAAGATTTTTGGTGCTATCTTTGCTTTTTATTTTTTATTGTTTTTTACCGCTGAAGGATTTTTTAGTTTTTTTTAGTTTTTAGTTTTGCTTTTAAAACGAAGAAGTTCTTAGTCTATATAATGGTATAACATCGTTATCATTAAATGTATGTGTTATGTTGATAATGATTATTGTTTTTTTTTCCACGAATTCTACTGATTATTGTTTTATCATTTCTCTTTTTTATCGATGTAATTTTGTTATTTATTGCTACTAATACAATAATTTTGTTATTGTTGAAATCTTTGCTCGGGATGAGGGACAACGGAGAGGCATGTTCTAAATACCTTGTTCAACAAAGCCAGGTATGGTTTTTCTTAAGTTATTAATTACCTTGACTCTTGGTGCATTTTGGAGCTTATTAAGTACTAAGTTTTTGGGCAGAGGAAAATCATTTAAGAAATGCTAGCATTCTTCTCCTCCTTAAAATGATCAATGTGTCCACTTTATATACGGAGTCAAGTTTGTCCTTGACAGATGACATAAAATAGTAAACCACTCTAATTTGGTCGGTTCAGGTAGCTTGGCTGGACATAAATTTCTAGGTCAAGAGCCTCAAATCTTTTCCAACATATTTATTCACTTTTGTTGCCCCTTCCCCTCGAAACTTGTCTTTATATTATGCTTACTATAAGACACATCATTGGAAAGAACAAGGTCCTCAAAGTTGTTTCAAGTTTTTCTTAACTAGCCATACAAGAATTCGAAACATTTTTCATAGACCTAAATAGTATTCTATAGAAAACTCCTTACAACATCTCTTCAAATCTCAAGAAAAGCCCCTGATTGTCACTCACAACCCCACCCCACCCCACCAGCGGAAGCGGCAAAGAGGCCTGCAACAACGGTGAAGGTTGAACCAGACTTGATTGAGATGTGGGCTGAATGAAGAAAGGTTGCTTTGGTTTCGTGACCAAGACAATGGCCTTTTGGGGAGCGGATCGTTTAGGTTTTTTGACCAGGGCGGTGTGATTCCTGGGGAAGGTCGCTGTGGTTTTCGATGGAAGAGGCTCGTGGGGTGTTGCTGGATTGTTGGTGGCCGCTTGGGGTCTGTCGATGGTGGCAGGTGTTGGGGAGCTAGTCGCTCTTGCCCTACACCCACTCCTTGTCTTTCGCAGCCTCTCCCTTCTCTCCTATGTGTTTGTTCTTTGCTGCACTTTAGATTCTTCTTGTTGCTTAAGTTGTTTTTCCACGGGGGTTTAGGGTCTCTGTCGCGGTGTTTTTGCTCAGCCCTAAAGGTTTGTTTTTGTCTCTTCTCTTTTTATTTTGTACTTTTTTTAAAAGGGGTTTAGTGATATTGTTTGTTTTAGGTTTGAATTGCTTCTTCAAGTTAGTTTTTGATTGTATTTACCTTGTTACTGAATTCATGTTTGTAGAAACATATTAGGATTTTATAAATTGAACCCGAACAGCTCTCTCTCTATTTCCTTCTCTCTCTTTTTTAAACAGAGTTAAGGATGAGACTTCAGAAATATTCCTTTTGGTATTTCCATGTGGGGTGGGTGAAAAAGAATGTAATTTTGTGATGTTAATTTTGGACGTTGAGTACTTTTTCCATTGTGATAAGAATTTCATCAGGAGAAATAGTTACAAAGAGAAATACTATTCTTTGCCGATTGGTTGTTCTTCGTTATTGTGCTCATGGTTTCTCTTGCACCATTTTCCTTATGTGTAGTGGACATTTATTTTTCTTTCAGATTTGTACTTCTCCCCCCCTCTTTTATGCTTTGTCATTTTCGGGTTTTGTTTGTTCTAGGTTTAGATTTTGGTTATGATTATTTTTTGCCTCTTTGTTATTGAATCCGTTGTTGTAGAAAATATTTGAATTTTGCTTAATCATTATTGTATCACACGTTTTCACATCTCATTTAGTTTGTTTAAGGTTCATATTAGTGCCTCTAATTATATCATTTTAAGGCTCTGATTATCTCATATTAGTGCCTTTTTTTCTTCATTCTTTCCTTGCTAATGTCGCTTTTTTTATTTTGTTTTTGTTTGTTTTTTCTATTCTAGTTTCTCTCTTTCCTTTTTTTCACCTCTCTCAGCCTTTTGTTTATACTCTCCCTCTATGCACTCGGATTTTAGATGAACAAAGAGCCATTAATTTGGCTTTGTGAGAAGGACCATCGCAGAGAAACTGTTTTGTGGATGAGATTTTTGCCAAAAAAGATTGTTGTTCTTTGCACACAAAAACAAATCTCCTTTTCTTTAGGAGTTTTGATTTTTGACCATTTCTAACTCTTTTTCGCTTTTAGAAAAAGAAAAGAAATTGACCACGTCATCGTGAAGAGAAAAAGAGGGCAATAATATTATTTTACTTTTGTCTTAAATATATAAAAGAATAGAAGAAGCTTACTGTTAGGGCTGTTCATGGGTTAGGTTGGTGCGGGGTAGGATTTTTTTTTCCCGTCCTAAAGGGTGCGGGTTGCACATATTTGGCCCCAACGATGTTAGAAAAATTTCACAACCCAACGTTGTTCGGGTTGGGTTGAGGCGGTGCGGGGTGGGTTGGGTGGTCGGTTTCAACATTCAAAAAATCAAAGACTTAAAGTTCAATATAATATTCAAACTTCATCATTAAATAGAAATAGTAACCATCCTTATCAGTCCGGCGAGAGAGCACCGGAAAAAGTAGGCAAGACGGCGGCCGAGAGGACTGAGCAATGAGAAGAGAGTTATGAGGGGGTTCACGGGAGGGGAAGAAGAGGGAAAACTGAAAAGGAAGAGGCAAGAAGAGGGGGTTCACGGGAGGGGAGACCGAGAATGAGATTGTGAGCCCTGATGTTAGTGAGCCTAGGGTAGAACTTAGGCAGTTCGGCTTGGGCCAAAAGCTTGGGGGTATGTTGTGCGGGTTGGGTTGGGGATTGCGGGTTGTTATGGGCCCAACCCGCAATCTGCCCAAAACACTTCGTGCCAGAGGTATAATGAGCCGCAAATTTAAAAATAATGTTGCGGGTTGCTTTTTTCAGCTTGGGTTGGGGCGGGGTGGGTTGGGTTTGCGGGTTGTTCGGGTTTATGAACAGCCCTACTTACTGTGCAGTTTTTGGTAGTCCAAAACGCACCGTTTGGTGCTCTCTCTCTCTCTATCTTGTATAGTTTTTTGAGTGGAAACAATTGCCCTTTTCACTATATTATAATTTGGTAGAATGTGATAAATAAAATTTGTCAAATGATTAATACATGATTATTAAGAATTAATGTAACAAGCGACACTATTTTTTGATGAATATTATATTTTTTGATGATTTTTTATATTTTTCGTCTTTGAAAAATAAAAAAAAAATCCGACGGTAACAAATTCTAAAATTTTGCATACACGATATTTACATTTTTTTTAAGCACGTCTGCTTAAAATCGCTCTCAAAAAATGAAGAGAAAATCATGTAAAAAAGCCCCCATAAGCGCGCAGTGGGGCACCCAGTGGTTGGGGTGTCAAAAATTTACATTTTTTTATTATGTTTTGCATTTTAAACTTAATACACGATTTTAAAGAATTAGTGCACCAAGCGAGACCATTTTTTGATGGACATTCTATTTTTTTTTATTTTTATAATTTTATCTATTTTTTCTCATTTGAAAAATAAAATAAAATAAAAATGACGTTAAAAAACTTTAAAATTTTGTAGAAAAGATCATAAAATAAAATTAGAGCGTGCATGCAAAAAATCGCCCTCAAAAAATGAAAAAACAATAAATGACTTCAAAAAGCCCCCGACGCGTTCAGTGGTGAGACTAGCGGCCGAGGGGATTAAAAATTCATATTTTAATTTATTTTTTCATCTTAAAATTAATACACGATTTTTAGGCATTAATATAATAAGTTGCATCGTTTTTTGATGAATATTTTATTTTTTTATGATTTTCTCTATTTTTCGTCGTTAAAAAATAAAATAAAATAAAACGATGCCTATAAATTTTGAAATTTTGTAGACACGATCCTTACATTTTTCTGAGCACGCTTGGAAAAAATTGTCTTTAAAAAATGAAAAAAAAAACAATGTCAAAAACCCATGGCACGCGTAGTGCGGCGCCCAGCTTTTGGGGGGTCAAAAATTCATATTTTTATTTATGTTCTGCATCCTAAAATTAATACATGATTTTTAAGAATTAATGCAACAGCTGGTATCATTTTTCGATGAATATTCTATTTTTTTGTGATTTTCTCTATTTCTTGCTTTTGAAAAATAAAATAAAATAAAAATGACGTCAAATTTTTTTGAAATTTTACAGACACGATTCTTACATTTTTCTAAGCATGTCTGCTTAAAATCGCCCTCAAAAAATGAAAAAAACTATGTCAAAAAGCCCTCGGGTGCGCAGTGAGGCGCTCAGCGGAGGCGCTCAGCGGCCGGGTGGGTTGAAAATTTACATTTTTATTTATGTCTTGCATCCTAAAATTATTACATGATTTTTAGGAATTAATATAACAAGCGACACCATTTTTCGATAAATATTCTATTTTTTATGATTTTCATTATTTTTTGCTTTTGAAAAATAAAATAAAATAAAAATGATGTCAAAAAATTTTAAAATTTTGCAGACATGATCCCTACGTTTTCCTAAGCGTGCCTGCAAAAAATTAGCATAAAAAAATGAAAAAAAAGTTGCCAAAAAGTCCCTGGCACGCGCAATGGGGCGCCTAGCGGCTGAGGATGTCATAACTTCACATTTTTATTTATGTTTTGTTTTCTAAAATTAATACACGCTTTTTAGGAATTAATGGAACAAGCAGTACGATTTTTTGATGAATATTCTATTTTTTAGACTTTTCTTTATTTTTCAATTTTAAAAAATAAAATAAAATAAAAATAACGTCAAAATATTATGAAATTTTGTAAACACGATCCTTACATTTTTCTGAGCGTGCCTATAAAAAATTACCTTAAAAAATGAAAAAAAAAAGTTGTCAAAAAGCACCCCACTGCGCAACGGGGCACCCAACGGCCATGGCGGTCAACAATTCACATTTTGATTTATATTTTGCATTCTAAAATTGATACACAATTTTTAGGAATTAGTGCAATATGCGGCACCAGTTTTCAATGAATATTCTATTTTTTTATGATCTTCTCTCTTTTTTCCTTTGAAAAATAGAATAAAATAAAAATGACATAAAAAAATGTTGAATTTTTTCAGATATAATCCTTACATTTTTATGAGCATGCCTGCAAAAAATCACCCTTAAAAAGTGAAAAAAAACGTTATCAAAAAGCACCCAACCGCGCAGTGGGGCGCTCATTGGCTTGGGTGTCAAAAATTCACATTTTGATTTATATCTTACATGCTAAAACTGATACACCATTTTTAGGGATTAATGCAACAAGCGGGACTATTTTTAGATAAATATTCTATTTTTTATGATTTTCTCTATTTTTCACCTTTAAAAAATAAAATAAAATAAAAACGACGTCAAAAAATTTTGACATTCTGTAGACACGATCCCTACATTTTTTGAGAATGCTTGGCAAAAATCTCCCAAAAAAATGAAAAAAATGATGTCAAAAAGCCCGTCGCCGCGCAGTGGGGCAGCCAGCGGTCAAAAATTCACATTTTTATTTATGTTTTACATTCTAAAATTAATACACATTTTTTAAGAATTATCGTAACAAGTGGCACCATTTTTCGATGAATATTATTTTTTTTATGATTTTCTCTATTTTTCGTTTTGAAAAAGAAAAGAAAATAAAAACAATGTCAAAAAATTCTGAAATTTTAGAGACACGATCCTTACATTTTTCTAACAATGTATGCTTAAAATCACCCTCAAAAAATGAAAAAAAACTACATCAAAAAGTCCCCCGGCGCACAGTGGGGAGCCCAGCAGCTGAGGGGATAAAAAATACACATTTTTATTTATGTTTTGCATCCTAAAATTAATGCACGATTTTTAAGAATTAATGCAACAAATGACACCATTTTTCGATGAATATTCTACTTTTTTTTATGGTTTTCTCTATTTTTTTCCTTTGAAAAGTAGAATAAAATATTAACGACGTCAAAAAATTTTGACATTTTACAAACACGATCCTTACATTTTTATGAGCATGTGTGCAAAAAATCACCCTAAAAAAATGAAAAAAAATGTTGTCTAAAAGCACTCTGCTGCGCAATGGGGTGCCCAATAGCCAGGGTGGTCAAAAATTCACATTTTGATTTATATTTTACATTCTAAAATTAATACACAATTTTTAGGAATTAATGCAACAAGCGGCACCATTTTTTGATTTTTTTTATATACTTTTCTACTTTCTCTCTTTTTCACATTTGAAAAATAAAATAAAATAAAAACGACGACAGCAAATTCCAAAACTTTGTAGACATGATCCTTATTTGTTTTCTAAGCACGTTTGCTTGAAATTGCCTTTAAAAAAAGAAAAAAAATGCGTCAAAAAGGCCTTGCCGCGCAATGGAGCGCCCAGCAGCCGGGATGGTCGAAAATTCACATTTTTATTTATGTTTTACATTCTAAATTATTACACAATTTTTAGGAATTAATGCAATAAGCGGGACCATTTTTTGATGAATTTTCTATTTTTTTAAGATTTTCTCTATTTTTCGCATTTATTTTCGATGAATATTCCATTTTTTTTTATGATTTTCTCTATTTTTCGTTTTGAAAAATAAAATAAAATAAAATGACGTCAAAAAATTTTAAAATTTTAGAAACACGATCCTTATATTTTTCTAACCATGTCTCCTTAAAATCACCTTCAAAAAATGAAAAAAACTACACCAAAAAGCCCCCGGCGTGCAGTGGGACACCCAGCGGTCGAGGGGGTAAAAATATACATTTTTATTTATGTTTTGTATCCTAAAATTAATGCACAATCTTTAGGAATTAATACAACAAACAACACCATTTTTCGATAAATATTCTATTTTTTATGATTTTCTATGTTTTTCACCTTTGAAAAATAAAATAAAATGAAAATAACATCAAAAAATTCTAAAATTTGGCAGAATGATCTTTACATTTTTCTGAGCAAATTTACAAAAAAGCACCGTCAAAAAATAAAAATATAACGATGTCAAAAACCCCTCAGCATGCACATTATGGCGCCATGAGGGTTAAAATTCACATTTTTATTTATATTTATGTTTTTCATCCTAAAATTAATACACGATTTTATCATCTAACACCTAATCTAATATATAAAAAAGAGCGACATTCCCTTTTAGACTTGGCTTTTAAAGAAGCCACGTGTTTATATCATTCTTCTTCTTCTTTTTGTTTTTTTGTTTTTTTGCAGTTGTGTGGAAGAACTGATGCGTCAACATTGAGCTTTAACTGGTCCACTGGTGGAGGTTGCCAACTAGCACAGGCCTTCAAAACGAGAGGGAAAGTGAAACCATTTGGCAAGAATCCTTGTCTCCGCATGGAGAAATAGAAATCAATGACAATGGCGTCGTCAAAACAATGGCTGGAAACCAAGCCACGGATCATGGTATTCCAAACGTAAATGTTGGGTGTTTTGTGTGTTGAAAGACGAGAAGAGGGTAGGAAGTGTCGCCGAAATCGATGGCGTAGCGGAAGAACAAGTTGAGGAGAAAGTTGCCTTGATCGAGGCCGAGACGGAGAAGAGAGGTCTGGACATGCTTGAGATGGTTGAAGGAGGTGATGAAGCCTTGGAGGAGGAGGTTCTTGATCTGTAGAGCCTTTGAGGTTGTTGGAGAGGCTCTGCTGCCGAGAATGCTCATCACCCTTTAACAGAAGCCACCAGCTATAGAATACGAATGAAATTTTTGTATCTACAACTCAAACATCTTAGTGGAACTCTTAGGGCCCATTTGTTATATGGATTTAAAACATGATTTTTTATTATAATTTTTTACATTTAAATTTTTTATAAGAGAAAAACACTGTAACATAAATAAAATTATAAGCTAGTAGGTTCATATATACCAAACATCACCTTAGTTTTGAAACTCAACATGAAATGATGATGAATAATTCCATCGATATTTCTGCAATAAAATCCCCGAATTGGGACTCTCAATATATAAGTACCAGGTATACATATATATGTGCGTGTATGTATTTTCCAAGTTTATAAATGGATCGATATATTTCAGACAGCTATAAATCCACACCAAAACTCCACCAAATGTAAAGTCTAAAAAATTAAAAAATCCACAAATAATATCCAGGTTTTATTTATTTTTTCATAATTTTACCGAGTATTCAGATATACATGAACATTCTCATAAATATATTGAACAAAATAGTCAACGTCATCCATACATGAAAGGAAAAAGTTAAAACAAAATTACTTTCGAGGGAAAAAATGCAAATATTGTGTCAATGCTCCTCTGATATGATTTTTTTTTTTTTTTTTCAAAAAATAAAGATGTATGATGCAAATATAAATCATCCAAGTGATCAATGCCACACTATTTTCATTATTTTAAAATGCAAATAACTAAAGTTAATTGATTGTCAGTAATCAACATGCACGTGACATGTCATTAGCTAGCTTTAATTAAAATTGTACAAGCTAACATGTCAGTAACCATCTTTGAAACTATACAAGCATTATATTTATCTTGGGAAAACAAAGAACTTACACAACACGAAAGAAAAAATAATAAATGGAACGAATTCATATATTAACCGGCTATATGTAACATAGAAATGCCTGTTTCGTAAAGGGTGCGGTGCGGTTCGGTTGTAGACCAAATAAATGTGTACATACATGTAAAAGAAGGAGCTACATACAGATGTTACAAAATTTCATCAAAAGCATTTTCATGTCAAAATTTACACAGACCAAGATCTTTAAATGATGACTATGTGCCATATACTTTATAGGCCCGGCGCTTGCACGCTGAACCTCGAGCAGTCATTCTCGTATAATGCATTTTCTTTTCTGCCCACGAAAATATTTCCATGGGACAGAGCAGGGCCTCTTGACAACAACACGTGTATGGGGATAAGTGTGTGAAGGGGAGTATATAATACATGAATGGTGTAAACAAATGAAGATTTGATATAAAATTCCTATTAGTTCCCCGACCTAGTTCAGGGTAATCACTGGATGCTGTAAGCGAATCAGTTTTGTTTCAAGAGTCGCTCCAATATCGTCATCATCGTGTTCATCATCGCTTCCAGCCAATGCCTAGAGCACAATTTATCAAAAGTTATACATCCAACTAGGAGAAAGAGGAAGGCAAAGAGAGAGGAAGAGTGAGAGTGAGAGAGAGAGACCTGACGAATTGTATTTGCTTTCTCCAATATTTCAGCAACCTTCAAGTTGGTTTTAGGAGTAGGACCTGGAATGCTGGGCCTTGTCGCTGCAGCAGGCTTCAAGTTGAAGGACTGAGGCCACAGACAAAACAATATAACAATTGCCTCAAAAAAAAAATCCAATTAACTATTCGAGTTGGATAGAAACGGTAAGCCCTAACCTTAGTTCGTATCTGTTCTAGTAGCGAATCTCTTTCATCTGCCTTTGGTCCAATCTGAGGCCAAACACGTTCAGTTACCTTTCTCAACTGCAAATTGTTCGACATGTTAAAAATTAAGCACATGCGGGTGGATATTCTGTTTGAGGATACGATCCAATTATCATTACCTTGCTTTTCCCATGCGCATTAACAGCATCAATGAGAGGATTCCTGGGACTAGGGAGCTTGTTCACTGCATTTCCGTTTGGCTTTCCAACTTTTCAGATTCTGACATCGTAGAAGAATTATTTGACGACCATGGGGTTTCTCCCTCTGGCATCAGTAAGCCAAACCGAACCTGCTCTTCTGCCACAGGAGGAGGTGGAATAGATGTGACAAATGGATTTCCTTCTCCTTCAGAATATTGTGATGACCGATTATGTGTCATGGTATCTGCTCCCGGTGCTTGTTGGTTTAGAGGCTGAGTGACTGCGAGTGAAACATCAGGAGTATGTGTGCTTATACCTTGAGTGGTTAGTGTTGGCGGGAAGGGACTTGAACCAGGCTGCACCTTTTCTCCCTGCTCACATCTCTCACTAGAAACTGCTGTAACGCAAGAACGGATTCAGGGATTGTGTTCCCCCCAGAGTGATGTAATTGTATTGACAATTGGCATCATTAACCGTCATTGGCAACTGCAACGAGTATGTTGGAGGCTGTGCAAAACTACCTGCCAAAGGCACGGCACAACAACATGCAGGGACTTTTAATTTTCCACAATCGTGAGAGGCAACAGGTTCTGGGTATGATGTATACCACCTTGAGACGTGGGTAATTCAACTTGACCTTTCTCATCAGCCCCATATGCTTTTTCCCATCAGGCTGCATGCCAATGCTAGGACGGGCGGGCTCCAATGGATTCGGTGTTTGGTTCACATTATCAGCATCCTGGCCTGCTGATTTTGATGAGAATTGTGAGGTTGAAGATTGGATTGGAAGGTCTTCTTGACACGATTCCAATGCAGCATCCACATATATTCCTTGATCAATGTGTTTTTGAGATTCAAAGTGCTCACCACTCTCCTCAGCCATGTGGTTCAAGGATTCCATCTCTTCAGATGGAAGACTTGATGAATTAATACTTGGTTGATCAACTTGCAAAGATCTCGCATCAAGTTGATCAACTCGTGACTCTGATTCTTCTAAAGGAGATTCTGGATGACGACCTGCATCATCGGTTACCACCCACTCCCCATCTACTAGATTAGCTCGCAATTTTGGTGACTTTTCTGATGTAGTTTCTGGCTCTGGTACGGAAGAGGTAGGTAAAGCCACTGCATATTCCCTGTCCTCTAAATGATAACTATTAGAGGAATGTATTAATTCTGACTGCTGACCTCTCAAATCCAAAGATGAGGCTGCAGCAGACAAACTGTTCTGGGTTCTTTCATCCAGAGGTAAATCATCATTATTATCATCAATTTTAGAAGTGGAATGATAATAATAAACTGGTGTGCTTGTGTTCAAGTCCGAATCTGTAGAAGCAACTTCCCCATGACATAGTTCTTTCCGTGTTTCTGGTTCCATAGCAGCTTCCGGACAAGCTCCCTCATCCAATTCCACCTCTTTTTGACTGGGAACCATAAATCCAGGAAGAGATTCTAGCAAATTTGTAGGACTCCTTGATGGAGAACAAACTACATCAGAAAGCAAACAGATACCATTGCCCACAACACTTGTAGCATCAGCAGAATAGATTGCTTGATCTTCTACAACAAGTGTACCAGATACTTCATCCAAGACTGCATGATCATTATCACCGGGATCAGTTAGATATCTAGAAGGACGTTCCAGAGAAGCAACATTGCTTCCGTCTGATCCCACATAGCTTGTAGATAGACCTATCTCCTCAAAATGCCCTGACCCAGAAATCTCTTCGATATTTGGTTTCTCTTTGGAATATGGAACGCCTGATTCTGCTGAATTAGGATCGAGATGGGCTTTACCTTCGGTAAAATGTGGGTATTGTTGCTCCGTCATCCCGGGTGTCTGTAGAGAATCCACTGTAGAAGGTACCTCTTCTGAGATGTGGCTCTTTCCAGTATCCACCATGGTTGGTAAATCTTCTGAGTCGACCTCAGTTGCTGTAACAGTATTATCCACTTTGGATTCCAGGCCATCAGGCTCAACTGCTTCTGAATGATCACTTGAAGCAGGCAAAATGAAATTTGCAGAACAACTTTTTTAATCTGTATGTTAGAACTAAAATGGTAGCACGAATTCAATGGAATTTAATGAGGATTTGAAAGTATAAATGTATAGTAGTGGAGATTTTTCTTTCGGGCCTACTAAAATTAATGGTTTCACAGTTTCCTCGTACATATCTTCCAGTGAAGTCCTAACCAGAATTGGTCCATCAAGAGGCTACCCACACTAGCTAAATGCAGTTAGTATGAAAAGGTTAGTCATTTCATTTTTGTATTTTTGTATTTTTTTAATTGTAGTAAATGTAAAGAGTTTATTTATTTATTTATTTATAAATTTAATAAGAATATATATATTTTAAATTTAATAAATATTAAAATAATCTATATTTAATTAAAATAAGGAGTATGGTTAGAGTGTTTCATTAAAAAATTACTATAATTTAGCAAAAATTTAGAGAGCTCTCATGGATATGTTCTAATGTGAGTTCATATCTAGATCTCAAAGTTATGAAGCATGAGAAATACTAACATCACTCTTTTTATCACTTTTTAATGTTTGACATGTGAATTTCACTATCTCATTTTTTGTTTAATAATAATATATTATGTCAGTGAAGTTTACATACCAAATAGTAAATATAGAGAGTGATAAAAAAAATAATACTAGTATTTTTCATAAAATATTGGCAAAATAAGGTTATGGAAACTCATTACATAGTAGGGATCTAAGCCAAAAGAATTCAAGTAATTATTTTTTGCCCCTTAGTATTGCACTGTTGCTGTGTTGACTGACCTTTATGCTCTTCAATAATGAATAATCAAAAGCTAATGATCCTAAAGTACTCGTTTACTTTCCTATGACACATATCAAAGTATCTTGTCCTTGGCTCTCTCGAATGTTTTTTCAGATATATATGTTGACGTTCTGTTTTTTTTCGTTGATTTGAATTTAAAATTTAAATTTTATTATAGTAAAAAATTTTTAAAAACAGTCACATTTAATTTTTTTGTTACAGTAAAAAATTCTCACATAACATCACATCTCAACTTAAATTAAAAACTCAAATTAGCGAACTGAACGGTTAAACAATTCAAGTCATTATTTAAGTTGTATATATAAAAAATATTATAATAAAAAAATTAAAATTAAAATTTTATTAAAAAAACACTATAATAATATAATACTATAATTAAAAAAATTAAAATTAGATTTTTATTAAAAAAATATTATAATAATGTGACTTGAGTTACGCAAATATATTTACGTACATTTCAAAAGAAAAAAAAAATCAACTACCAATTAAAGCAAGGAAACCTAGCTTGAAAGCAAAAGGTCATTCTAAACTCAACGAGTGTCAGGTTGTCAACTATGCAAATCGTCCTTTAATAATTATGATCTTTTTCAGCGCTTTTTTTTTTTTTTTTTTTTAAGTTGCTTTCCACTTACATATTCTGATATTCTCCCTTTTCATTGAGAATGAAACGTAATGGAAGCTTCTTTCTATATATATATATATATATATATGCTTATAGATCGATCATTCTTGCGTGGCCCACACACGATAAATTTTGTCATTGTTTTTTTTTTTTTTTGATAATTAACAATATCCACTTCTATTATTGGAATCTTTTGTTAAAAAGTTTTGACTGATCAAAAATTGACTAGAAAGTATGAAGATTTTTTTTTTTTTTGTATGCAAAAAATATTTCCTCTCCCTGTACTATTAGACTGTCAAATATTCGTATCATAAGCTTTATTTTATCTGACATAATATATACTCTTAAAAAATTCAAACCGACTGAAAATGAATTAACATTTTTGTTTACAAATATTCGATCTTCATTTATAGAAGCATTGTTAAATATTGGGACTATATATTTTCTTCCTTTCTTGGAATTGTACATACTTAGTTTGCACCTAGCGACATACGTGAGCATCTATTGCTGATACATGATTACGTAATTGATTAAGAAATTAAGAAGATAGACGAAAGAAGATCACAATAATATGGTTTCATCTGACTTTAAATTTACGCCAATCTTAGTTTAGGATGATAATATTCTGATTTTGCTGTCGAAATCCTTCGTTTAATTGGTTCGATTAGTTGAGCGTCTTTTGTCTGTTTACTTGGGAAAGATGATAGATTTATCGACTCAAACAATTATTCCGTTAGTTAAAATAGTTTATGAATATGTTGCTTTTCTTTTTGTCAATTAATTGTACAATATTCCCCAGCTACGGAATTACGGACAAATTATGAAATATATAGTTATTATTGCTGTTGTAGTTGTTGTTACCACCATCATCATAAAAAGAAAAATAGTCTATTGGCTTTAGGCATTGGTGTAGCACTGATTAGTATAGTTGTCTTAATCCTTGGTCAATTCTACGCTTTGGAAGATGGAAAGCTCGCTAATGCTATGTTTGGTAACAAGGAAGGAAAATACAATGAAAGAAAAAGCAAAATATCAAGATGAGTAACATAATAAAAAGATAAAAAGAAGAGAATATAGCGAAATGAAATGAAGAGTGAAAGAGAGTGTGTGTGTGAGAGAGAGAATAGTTCCCAATTAATTCCCGACATCACCTTTGGGCGCATCACCGAGCCACGAGCTCACAACGGTGAGGTCGAGATGGTGGTGGGGGAGGTATTTGCTATTGTGAGGCATATTGAAATAGGACAGGGTGCTTGTTGTTTTTACGTGTGTTCCTGCTCTTCAAGGTCTTAATCCTGTGGTGTGCAACGTTTGATATAATAGAAGTGTCATGTTGAGTTATGCATGTTGTGTAGATGCATTGGTTATGCAGTATGCCAACGATACTTCTCCCCTTATTCGATTCCCTTTTTCTATTGTTTCGCGCGTTGATGTTCATTTCCTTGCTAGAATCTTTTTTGTTGTTGTTTGTGGCTGTTTTTTCCTTTAGTTTGTTTAGTTTGGTTTGGTTTGTGACATGACATTGGTGGTTTTTATCTTGTTATTTTTGTGCTTTTGCGCATATATATATATATATATATTCCTTTGCTGTTTTTACGTGCCCTTAGCGCTATGGAATTATATACCGACATCGATTGACCAAACATTTTCTGTCAATTATAGAGGAAACATTACAAAGTCATCTGTCTACTTAATTTTTAATGTATCGTTTCTAAGTGTTCTTTTCTAAAACTCGGTATATACGATTAGTGTTAATTAGAGTTTACAGGTGGACTCAACATGTTTCTTGTAAGATGATGTTTATCGGTGTGTGAATTGGTGTTTATACTATCTTATCATGTTACGGAATGCATTTTCCTATTAAGAAAAGATGAGAAAAATAAAAAGGAAATAGAAAAACTTTACTTTCATCTTATTTTGTAGAAGAAAAAAAAAAAGAAGAAAACCTCCCAACTGGTACTGTATTTTACAATTACATCGTGACAAACAAGAAAATGAGGCGTGATTAAGGTTAAAAATGATTATTTGGTATGCTTTTTTCTTTTTCTTTTTCGTAAAATACTTATCCTCTCATTTTCTTCTCAACCAAATAACCCAACCTTCCATTATATTCTCTAAATTTCTAATATTCTGTCTTCCTTTTTCCATTACACCAAAACAAAAGTTAAGTTTTTTATACTTCCAAATTGTACAATCACCTCCGCGCATGCATTTAACACCAATAATCTATCATATAATATTATTTTACCATTTCAACACAGATCAAGATCCCGATCGAGACTGTATTGTAGATTAATACCAGTAATCTACTAAATTATTTTACCTTTTCAACACAGATATCGGTTGTCTCCACACCCCGTGGCCAGGATATAATCTAGTAGATTACCACCAATAATCTTTCATATTAAATCCCCAAAATAATAAATATTAACACCAATATAATATTGTACATTACCTACTAGATTAATTATCGAAATACGCAATAAGAAAACAGATTATAAAAATTACATCAACAAAAAGATCCACAAAAATTACAAATAATAGATAAAAACTTACAAAAAAGTAAAAATATCACGTTACAATAAAGAAAAGCTTAGAAAAACCCTAATTATCATAAATTTATACTTGAGTTCTAATTTTAATTTATAACTGAAGTAAAATATTCCTGGATCTGTCACCGACCATGTGCACAAAGTATTTACTTTGACATCGCACGTACGTACGTTCAAGGGATGGACATTCATTTATTTTCTTAAGGCCAATTATTTTTCTTCAGAATCATGGAATATAAATCAATATAATTCGTAGATAGAGTAAAATCAACCAATTGGCCGTTAGAACACCTCAAATTAACCAACTCATTAGTTAAACTAATTGCCACATGTATGACTTTTATAGGGACTAGGGTTTTGACTTGTCGTTTGCTAAAACCGAAAAGGAAATAGAGAAAAGACTTGAACAAAAAATTCAACCACGGCTCATCTTATTTAGATTGCACGACATTGTCACTGATCAATTTAATGAAAACTTGGCACAATTAAACAGAGCTGTTAGGGGATAATATATATATATATATATATATCCGGTGTCAAATCAGAATGTATAGAATATTGTTGTCCTCATGTATGAGCTATCCCTAATTCTTTTATTCAAACGTCTCCTAATGTATAATTGAAATTCGCAACACACACACACATATATATCCTCCAGGTGCCAAATAAACAAGCCACGTTTTGAAGTGATCATTCAAAATTAGTACACAACAGAAATGAATCTATAACACCTAACCATATAAAGACGAAATGACATAATTATACATATTGCGGTATATTGGTTTCAAATGAACAATTGTAGCAAATCTTTCAAATTCAATGATTCGTGAACACACACACAAAAATGGATAAAAGGATAGTTTCTGGCCAACAAGGCTTTCCTCAGTTTTACCATTTTTCTGGGAAAACTTGTGCAACGTGCATGCATATCTTTAGTATGTGCGCTTATGGATTATCATGATAACTTTGTACGTGCATATCCAATTTGTGACCAAACCCAGTGGGACGGTTTTCCGGTAGGGACACTTCTCATGGCTTATTTGAGTGCATTTGGCACACCCTTCTTCAGTCATATATATATATAGACACAACATATTGAAGCTTATCTACGAATGGCCAATTCCATTATTGATTTCGGCTAACAACTCTCACTATATATCTTTAGGGGGTGAAAACTACGTGAAGCTTATCACAAAAACTAAGTTCATCTTGGGTTATCTCAGATTCTCAGTATTAGACAAAAAATAAATAGTTCCATAAAAAAAAAAAAGGTTAAATAGTACATAATAATATTCTCCAAAAAAGAAAAAAGTAGTTGGGAAAGGATTGCAAGTGGGTAACTTTGAGGTCATTACACGCCATTAATGTGGAGGTGAGATATTGGTGTCTTCTTTTTTTTTTTCCCCACGATTGATCCCAATAACACATGTCAATCGACCAAGAAACTTTATTTTTATTATTTCAGGAAGCAATTGACCAAGAAACTTTATCTTCATTTTCATTTTCACTTTTTTTTTTTTTTTTTTGAGGAAGAAATCGACCAAAAATCTGGATAATCTATTTGAGCTTGCAAATTCATGTACTCAGGGACTAACTCTATGATTGAAAGTCAAATACCATGTATTCAAATATACGTTGTGAACTTGTGAACAAAATAAAAGAAAATTCTGACCTACTCAAGGATGAACTCAAATAATTGAATCTATATAATTTTTATTCAATTATAGAGGGGTTATATATCTATGACTGAAGCAATATTTAAACGTTTTAATACGAATTCAGTTCTAGTACTTTTTAAAAGATAGGCGGTAGATTACCATATCACTAATCCTTTTTTTCCCCCCTTAAAAAATATACTTATTTCTTTTTCTGTGATAGATATGATTTCTATCGTGCAATATATTTAAAATATCCCAAGCAATTAAGAAAGTATGCAGTCACTTTTTTCTTGCAAAAATAAAGAAGTATATAAACAGTCATTTTCCAATTAATTATATAAATTAGAGTGCATAAGAAAATTTTCACGGATCGTGTTGAGACTTGAGATAGCGGTTGGTAAAAAGTCCGACATGTATCTGAGATTTATATCCTAAAGTAATGGATGATTGATTTCTTGGTAGGGTCAATTATAATAAAAAAAATTAAAAATAATCCAATATCAAATCAAACCCGAAAAACAGATCGTTAAATGTGTCGACAAAAAAACATATAATGCTTTTGGAAGAAGCTTCTCTCCCTTGGAATCTCTAATTTGTTTTCTAAACTACAATTCTATATTCTCCCTTTTTCATGGGCAATGGAAGTGCATATGTATATCGCCCACTAACTTTGTTTTTTGTTTAATTTTGTTTTTTATTTTTTTTATTTTTAATGTTTCTAATGCAAACATTGATTGATACTTTCAAGTGCTGTTGATTATTAAGGCCAAAACTCTGTGACCAATAATTCATCAAAGTGTAAAAGAACCTTTAACTTTTCCCCCCACTTTTTTTCAACTATTCCCTTAATTAGAGGAAAAGGGAGATTTTAATAAGTCAGAGAAAAAGAAAAAGAAAAAAAAAAGTCCTTTTCTTTTGCAACAATTATTGGTACATGCTATCGTCATTGTCATTCACTAATTATTAATGTATATGTATTATTTTTCTTTCTTTTGTTTGTTAACTGTTGGATTTTGGTTTAGATTTGATTATAATCTCTGTTTATAATAAATTATAGCTTATTTCTTTCTCACTACCGTACGTCTTTAAGTATTATTGGGCGATACTTTTGTTGTTTTTTACCAGAACAGCTCGGAGATAAATTATGTATGACGACATGTCGATTAGTTGAATTTGTCTCCCGGATTTTCAGAGTTCTGAAAAAAAAAACAAAATTTTTTTTTATTTCATTAGAGTAGGGCCAATTGGCAAGACTTCCAAGGCCAAAAAAAAGGGTAGCAAAGTACCCTATAGAATCTCGTGTTATGTTCGTGTCAAAGTGGGAAAAGACCGAGCCTAATATTTTAGTACTTCCTTATATAGAAGAGACAATTTAATCAGAAAGCTTTTAGTTAAAAATCAGGTAACTTTTATACCTCTATAACATTTAGCGCCAATTTCTTCTTTGTTTGCCAAAATTACATCGGTAATTGATTCACTTAAAAGCACTCTAATAAACAGTAGTGGTAAACCATAGGATTTTTCCTTTTCTATTGATAACTTGGGACTAATACGTGTAGACGTTTAGTTTATAAATTTAAAATTATTCTCAATTTACGTGTATTTTTTATATGAGAAAATATTATAACAAATCATGAATTATTAGTCGCATCATGACACGAATATACTAACTAAATGCACAGTAATTTTTTTGCTAGTTAGAACGAGCACTTAATTAAATTCTTAATATTATACCTCAGTAACTCTATTCAACCCAGTAGAGTTGAATATGATTCAATCACAAAGAATGGGGTCCACTTGATGAGCGTTACCAAATGGACCCTTCAATACTTTGTGGGAACATTCGATCCAACCTTATTGAATTGAGCTAAGTTAAACTCGTCGAGTTTTAATTAGCTTTAAATCATTATTCTTAACTTTTTCGCGGATCAAATTTCTTTTCTTTTTTCTATTATCATTATTATACATATACTATATCATATTGTACTATGTGTAAAGAAACAAAAATAAACCGATCCGGAGAAGCTAATTAAAGTTACCCTAATCAAATTAAAGAAAAATTCGCACACACAGATTAATTACATATCTCGAAATCCCAACCTCCGATCTTACAAAACTGCCATGAATTTGATCATTACAATACAATACAAGGACTTACTATACCCTAGTGAAAAACTCATTTTCTCTATGATCCATCAAGTTTTTACCACAAAACATAAAACATATATCTATCTATTTACATGATGGAACATGCATTTGGATTTTCGTCACTAAACATAGAAGTAAACTTCTCATCTGGGGCATTTGGGCTTGGAAGTGCCTGAACGACATTCTTTACATAACCAGAGGGTGCTTTCTTGTCGTATGCCTGTGCCACGTAAGGATAAGCCACCAAGTTGTAGGGCACGTAGGGCCAAAACTCAGCCCTCTTTCCTGTGCTCTTCACTTTCTTTAACACCTTGTTTGGCTCCACATAACCCGTCACGGTCACCCGGCTTTGCTTTCTGTTCACGTCCACTGATTTTGCACCTGCACACGTTTCCACAAAAATATTAATTAATAATTCGGTATAATTTAGTAATTAATTAAGTGGACAATCTAGGTGGTTATATGTTGGAACATTATTATGGTATGGAGTCTTGACCTGTTTGGTACGTGGGAATTTGAATTGCATTAGTTATGACATGATGGAAAATTAGGATGTATAAATTTTAATTAGTTACATATTCACATGTGATCACTAATAACGCATAATATCTAATTTTTTTTTAACAATTTTATAGGGCGTCGATGGTGTGGAGCACAATCCACCAATGGAAGGTAGATCCTGAGCAGCATGGTGTTCATCTCTATTAGTACTGACGCTTAGCACCGATGGTGTTTTAAAGTATTTTTTAATTTATATAGATACATAGATATATATATATATAAACACATATGTATATGAGCAATTTTATATTATGAGTGACATGGTAATTTTTAGTATTTTTAAACATCAAAAAGGAAAATAAAAAAGAAAAAAAAGAAAAAGAAAAACGTTAGAAGCAGTACATCAAACTCAATTAAGGTGGTAGTTGTGGCAGTTTCAGAGCAAAAATAACTCTTGTTTCCTGCAGTTGAGTTATTACTTGCTCTTCAACTTCCAATAGTAATAAACAATGACTTGAAACATGGGATAAAACAGGGACTAGTCAAAGTCGTTGAGAACCCCAAAAGGGATCGTTCTTGAGTCTTGAACTATTAACAGCTCATGGGAAATTTCTCATGGATAAAAAAAAAATCTTGTTTATAGTATATATTATCATTTTTAGAAAAAGAATTTATGTTTGAATTAGACTTAAGTTATAAGTAATAATAAAACAAGAATATACTTGGAGAATTAGAAAGAGGGATTAAGGAAGAAGTTTAAGTAGCTTTTGAACCTCTCATGGAAGTTACAGCATTCCTAACTCTCCTTTCACAACCATCACAGTCCATTTTCACCTTAATTTCAACTGTCTGCAAATCATAAAACAAAAGAAATGAATAAGAAATTAAAGAGAAAAAGAAGATCATCATAAAAAGAAAAAAAAGGTCTTATAACTAATATTGGAAAGGAAATAAATTAAAGGGGAAAAGAGATTGGTGTTGAAGAATACCTGCATTGCTTTTCGTTTCTTTCTGGGCCTATCAATGGTGAAATAGTCAGACAATTTGTCCAAAACACCCATTTCTTTTTTCTCTCTTTTTTTTTTAACGTGTGTTATGAAGGGGAAAAAAAAACACCAAGTTCAAGAGCCAAAAGAAGCAGAATAAGCTTTAAGAGAGAGAGAGAGTTGCAGGGAAAGGGGTTTAGGAGCAAAGAAATTTAATGCTATGTAATGTGTTTTTGGTCCTATATATATATGTGTGTGTGAGAAGGAGGTAAGACCAAGAGATGGAGATTTAGCAAAAACTTACATTAATAAACAATAATATTATAGCTTAGATAATGACCTGTGTCCTTAAAACTATGCTACTTTCAAACTATCAAGCCGCAGACAACTGGACCAATTTTGCATTATTTCTTAATTATTTATGCCCGGGCCCCGGATTGCAATTTTTTTTTTAAAGAAAAAATATCGAGGAATAATAAAATGTCATTAAATGAAGAGTATAATTAATTAGTAATTAGCTAATAGCTAGTCTCTGCGGTGGTTTTGTTTAAGCATTTGACAGCTTCAAAAGAATTAGCTATATAGCTAGTTGTCCTGCTGCTTTCTTTGTCCAAAAGAAAAGGGAACCGCGGAAGTGCTGTTGTAAAGTCGTTTTTTGGCCCTCCGATTTTTGTACAGCATCTTCTAATTCATCATTTTTTTCTTGATTTTTTTTTTATTTTTATTTTTTAAATATCGGCATGTATGCCAACTATGCTTCAATGTATAAGCGAGAGAATAATATCTTTATCACCTATAAACTAGTTTAGCGTCCTTAATAGCATCCATATTAACCTCTAATGTATAGTTGAGGTCCTACTAATTAGTTCAAATCTTTCATCAATACCAAATATAACATGAAACTCACTCTATCAACATATGTCCCTAAACCCCCTCAAATAAATAAATAAATAAATAAACATATGTCCCTAAACTGTATACGGTAGTTTAACATTCCCGTAAATTTTGAGAATGGATCATTTTTTTTCCCCCAAATTATGTTCCTTAGTTCAAACTACCCTTTAAGTACATAATACTAAAACAAATGACATGACACTACTCTTAATTTTATAAATATCTCTAAAATTATTGATTCAAGTTAACTTGTTCCCTAAACTATTGATTTTAAGTATCCCACTTCAAGAGGTAAAATGATCCTTTTTAACTCTAAAATTATTGATTCAAGTTAACTTGTTCCCTAAACTATTGATTTTATGTATCCCACTTCAAGAGGTAAAATGATCCTTTTTTTAAAAAAAAAAAAATTCTACTTACACGTTGACTTAAGGTACATAATTCAAATAGCATTTCTGAAATTAATTCTATTGATCCTAAACATGATCAATGTTTTAGTGTCATTTGTTACACTTTAATTAGAGACCGGATTTTAAAGTTTCTCGTGACTTGTAGAGTGAGATCTCAAATGGGTTTGAAGTAGCAATTATCATGTGGCCAAGAAAAGAACGGTAGCCACAAATCTGTGTTTGCGTATCATTGTTGGAGACCAAATTTTAATTTTCTTGTGACTTGTAGAAGTTGTGGTTATCATGTGGCCAAGACTTACAGAATGGTAGCCATAAATAACAAAATTAATTAATTAATCATTCCATTTCCTCAACTTAAATTGTATTCATCAGAATCGTTGTGTAAAAAGATCAAATTGTAACTATATAGTGGTGACCTCTCAGAATTGGGTTTGGAGCAGTAGTTATCAAGTGGCCAAGTCTCATAGAATGTTAACCGTAAATAACAAAATTCATTAATCTATTAATTAATAATTGCTTTCCTCAACTTAACTTGTGTTTTAGCATTATTAGGTTAGAGACCAAGTAGTAATCATGTGGCCAAGAATTATACAAATGTAGCCATCAATTTAGGTCTACGCCAACCAATTACTTCCATGCAAACCAAACGAGAACCGCTGGATTATGATAGTTCATCACAAGCTCTATAATTGAGGCAATAAACGAGATGGATCTAATGGTTGCAAATATACGGCCAATAGTTTCAATCTCCCAAACAATCAAGAGCCCTAAATGTTTCTTCTTTTATCAAACGATAACAAGAATTCTCTCTAATAGACACTGAAAAAACGAACTGTAAATAAATTTTTATTTTCAACCTGTTAAATATTTATTAAAAATTATATATTATATATTTTTTAATTTAATATAATTTTAATTAAAAACTAATTTTATTGACAAAGATGCCCCATCAAGGAAGAGTCTAATAATAATAATAATTTTCTTCTTGGGGTTGCTATAATAATGATGGGGATAGAACTAAGACGAGTAGAGGAAGTTTTTGATTTTCTAAAAGCTCAAAAGCAACGTGCATTAAATGATCTGGAGCCCAACTGCTTTGCATCATTTGCAAGTATCCGCCACCTTTTCTTTTCAAATCATACGCGCTCAGCGCTCTGCTTTATGACGTCCTGCATCATAGAGTTCAACTTGTTGGAATGTAAATTATTAGGGGATTCATTATAATTGTCAATATTATATGCACACACGCACTAGGGGATTATCTAGTCTATATATTTCCTAATATCATGTCGTATTAAGATCAAAATGAAACTTACTAGTAGTCCAACGGTGAGAAATCATATTAGATTCATACATTTGTTGGCTTGGGTTAAAAAATTGAGTTAATATCACCCTTAGTCTCTGAATTAGAAAACATATTGTGTCACTTTAGTACTCGATTTGTTTTTGAAAGATTAATCATTGAACATTAATTTGTTTACAGTTTTAGTCCTGACATGGTAATGGACAAAATTTTTGAAATTAACGGCACGTACAGGCCCTCCGTTTGCTTTGTGGATTCAAGTTTTTTATTTAAATTGATATGTGATATTTTTTTAAAAGTTTTTAATGACAAAATTTTTGAAATTAACGGCACGTACAGGCCCTCCGTTTGCTTTGTAGATTCAAGTTTTTTATTTAAATTGATATGTGACATTTTTTTAAAAGTTTTTAACTGTAATAAAAAATGTTAGATGTGATATTTTCTGAGAACTTTTAACTGTAGAAATTTAAAATTAAAAACTTAAATCAGTGAAATGAACAATGCCATAAAAACTAAAAGCTTTACAGAATTATTTACATTAAATGCAAAATATACACTAAGAAGAAAGTGAACTCATAGTCAAACTTGGCGTGTTTCGCCCATAGATTCAAGAAGTTTAAACCCATTAGCGAAGTTCAAACACGTGTTTGGTTTTGTAATTACATGATAGTTTTGAACATGATATGATGTTTTACATCAACCAAAACCACCAATGTTAGAGTTTACTTCCCTCTATAAATTCAAACCTATATTTTCTATATGAAAATTTTGGAGAACGATCGTAAAATTTTCTGTTGATGATAATGTATTATATATAGAGTTATATAAGGAGTTTGAATTTGAACCTAATACTAATTTAATATCTAAATAATCTACACTAAGAACTTATCTCCTACTAACTATAAAAATAATTCGAACTTAAAAATAAAAGATAATATAATCTTAAATACTAAGAAAATGATAAATTTAATAATTATAAAATAAATACGATCTATTTCAATTAAACCTATCAATTAACATAATATCAAACTTTATTCACTGTTTAAACTTACATTTTAACTGCATATTTAAACGTCATTTCAAAGTGCATGTCTAAACTACACCTTTCAAATTTATAGTTCAAATAAGAAAATTTCAAATCATCACATTTCAAACCCAACATAGACTAGAATACATAGATAGGTCCGATTAATGTCTCACACAAATGAAGGATAACTTGGTTTGATTGTTGATTGCAAATTTGAAAAAGCTTCATTCCTGCACTTAAATGATTTAATTTGGTATCAAACAATAATTAATTTCAAACAAAATATTTATGCCTCCATTGTCAAAGGATCCATATTACATACTGGTTAAAACAATATCATTAATGAGGAGGTACCAAAAAAGAAATCTACTGCTCTCCAACACGTGAAAGTTCATACAAATTAGTGCAATATGACACAATTTCTAGCTCCAATACCGTGTGTATCACACAATTTCTGATCAGGTAAACATATGTCTAGTTTCTGAAATTGATAGATGAGCGTATTTAATGAGATGGGGTCTGACCATTCAAGAGTTTTAGGTGAAACTTCTCTAGAAAATGCCAAAAAGTTGCAATCTAGTTACCATATGAAATTAATTATACATGTATCATTTATCAATCCCCGATGGCATCCATTAGAAGAATTTTCTTTATTTTTAAAGCTTTCCCACCTCCATAATTATTTGTGTGTCATTTTCTGGTTATTGTGTATTTTGGTTGTACCAGTCAATATTCAGCAATAATTTTTGGCACCAACTTTCAATTTTACTCTTATTTGTCTAATTAATCATTAACAACTGTTTATCTATTAGATTAATAATTTGAGTTTTTTTCCTATAATAAATATCTTCTCTATATAACACACATCTCTCTACAAGAAAATTCACAATGCAAATTAATTAATATTGCTTGTGCACGATAATCTTTGCTTCATTTACATAAATAAATAAAGCGATCTGTGTTTAAACGTATATACGCTTTTTAAACAAATGTGATTTTAATCATATCTGACGACTGAAAATAAAAAATTACCGGTAGTTCATCTTTTTGTGACTGGCTAGAGAAGCTCTATACCAATTGGAATTATTTTATTTTTTAACTTGCTACGTATTTTGCATATAAAATGGAATTTGGTTTACCCTTGATTTTTCATTAATACACTGAAGAATAAATATCAATGTATAGTACAATGGCACGATGGGGCAAAGCGTATAGAGCAACAAAATATTCTTGCAGGGAGCAAATAAACCCCTGCGTTATTATTGTGCATGGGCCATCCTAGAAAGCCATATCTGTTTCACAAGAGGACTTTTTGCATTATAGGCCTCAGAACACTCGTATGAATGACAAAACTTCGAAGAGAAAGTCTAATATTGGAAGCCACCACTAGGCACTACTAGGTGCACCTACTTTCCAGATTGTCTACATCTTGCAGAAAAAAAAAAAAAAAGAAATCAAATTACCCTCTTGGTTGTCAAGAAGAGGCTCCACCAATCATTGCAGTGTGTATACAATTTACAAAAATAAAAAATAAAAAAATTGTTATATATTAGAGTCTAACATGTATGGTAAACAGAGACGGAGTCAGATGAATTATTCGGGAGTGTGACTGAATAATGA